CCTTCTAGTTGCTGTATGTGGGACTCGGCCTCAGGATGAACGGAGAAGTGGTGCCTCGATGCGCACCCGGGATCCGAACCCGGGCCGCCAGCATCGCAGCGCGCGCACTTAACCACCAAGCCACAGGGCCGGCCCGGAAGTGATGAAGTTCTGCTCCAACTATCTGAGGCAGGAGAAATTAGTAAATTGTCAAATGTCTGGTCTAATTTTCTCCTTTAGACTCTTCCCCTGTTTTCCATTCTGTGCTATAGACCAGGACCTTCCTTTTCGTTTTACTGAGTGAGAATAGCTTGTGCCTGGTACTTTTGGTATATTCATAAGTTGGAGGAGATAAATCTTTTGATGATAATAGGCATTCTCTTGGGCTGCAGTTTGCATAAAGATGTGAAGATAAGGTACTGTGAATGTTAATGTCAAAAGATATTATCACTGATCTAGACAACCTTTCAGGTTTCTTTTCTATTAGGTCAAAAATGTTTCTGAGGATTTCCTTCCTAGCTGCCCAACCAGAAGATGAGGAGGACACAGCCTGGATGAGTGGTTTTGTGTTTGGACTGACATGAGTTCCAATCACATGTACCACTCTATAGTAGTGGTATAACCTACCCAGGCCTGAGTGTCCTACTCTTTATTATTATTTTTTTTAATTTTATTTATTTATTTTTTTCCCCCAAAGCCCCAGTAGATAGTTGTATGCCGTAGCTGCACATCCTTCCAGTCGCTGTACATGGGACACGGCCTCAGCATGGCCATAGAAGCGGCACGTCGGTGCGCACCCGGGATCCGAACCCCGGGCCGCCAGCAGCGGAGTGCACGCACTTAACCGCTAAGCCACGGGGCCGGCCCATCAGTGTCCTACTCTTTAAATATCTCCTGTCCCCCTAGCCTCGATAATGAGTTTTGATTTTGTATTTTCTGACTTAATAGTTAAAATACTACCCATATTATAATAGCTTCTCTCTCCCACTTTCAATAGTAACCTTTTTTGTTGGTTTCAGGAGCCCAACAAGATGTAGCTTCACAATCTCTGGATCAAGAAATTTTATTAAAAGTTAAAACTGAAATTGAAGAAGAGCTAAAATCCCTGGACAAAGAAATTTCTGAAGGTTTGTTTATCCTTATCTTCCTAGTTAATCAGTAGATTCTGTTTGGTGTAGTTTGCTGTTGATATAATTTGACTTTTTACAGTTCAGTGTTCTCAACATTATACAACTTCATTGATGTATGATTATAAGGGTGAAACTAGAAGGTATCCTTTTTGTTTCCTGGGGGATATATTTAAAAGTTTCCCAACTATACCCAACAGTTTAGATGTAGCCTTTTCTGGCTAAAGTAATGGATTAAACGATCGTGTTAAGGTACTTTCCATTCAATGTGGTTTGATTTGTATTTGGTCTCTTTATAATTAATAACATTAAAGGGAAAAATGTAAGTAAGCTGCTTCCATTTTTGCATGCATATATGCTATAGATAGTTGTAATAGTGACATACATGTAATTTTATAGCCACATAGTTAAGTAATTTTGTACTTAACATTACATCATAAACTTTTAAAATAGTTATTCTACTTAACTACATGAAATTCTGTACTGAGTGAATATTTACTCAATCATTCCCTGTGATTGAGGGGAGCATTTGGGTTATTTCTTGTTTTGCCTTCCATAAGTAACACTGCATTGAACCTCTTGCCCAGTGATTTTTTTTTTTTTTACAGCTTTATTGAGATATATTTCACATACCATAAGATTTACCCATTTAAAGTGTATAGTTCAGTGGTTTTTAGTATATTCACAGAATTGTATAACTATCACCAAAATCTAAATTTAGAACATTTTAACACACCAAAAAGAAACACTATACACATTAGCAGTCACTTCCCATTTCTACTCCCACCAGCCCTTGCCCCCAGCCCCACCCGTGGCAACCACTAACGTGCTTTCTGTCTCAGTGTGTTTGCCTATTATGGATATACACGAAGAGGGAATCATACACTATATGGTCTTTTGTGACTGACTTCTTTCACTTAGCATAGTGTTTTCAAGGGTCATCTGTAACATGTTTCAGTACTTCATTCCCTTTTACAGTGGAATAAAACTCCATTGTGTGGTTATACCACATTTTTTTAATCCATTCATCAGTTGATGGATATTAGGTTGTTTCTTCTTGGCTTTTATGTATAATGCTGCTATGAAGATTCTCGTACAAGTTTCTTTGTGGCTGTATATTGCCCAATAATTTTTAACAAGAAAAATTATAAATTATGTTTATAAGTCAGTTCCCTGTTAGTAGAGAAAATAAATTTATAAATTACTTCCCTGTTAGTAGAATATGAATAGAAATTTAAAAATAATCCAGAAACCTAACTTTAATCTTCTCTTTTATTTTCCTTTACCAACTTTTAAAATTTTATTTATTTATTTATTTTTTCCCCCAAAGCCCCAGTAGATAGTTGTATGTCATAGCTGCACATCCTTCTAGTTGCTGGATGTGGGACACGGCCTCAGCAT